ATCTTCCAGTCAAAGCCCATTACCAGGTGAAAGGAGATTTATTACTCTTAATATTAACGGGCATTTGTGTAGATTGCAAATACATACTGCATCTGATGTCACCATCCACTCACGCAAAAACTGTACCAAATTGGGCAGCCCAAGCCTGCAGCACACAACACAGAAGCCTCGTACAGTATGTGGTAATTACCTTCGTCTGTTAGGACAACTGGAATGTAAAATTACCTTCCGAGACTCGTCATTTACTGGGTTATGTTATATAGTGCCAGCTGATATCAATTTACTGGGTTTAGATTGGTTCGACCAGATAAAATTGACTGATGTCCCGTTAAATACCATATGCCACCAGGTATCACAACCACATGACGCCGAAGCATATATGAGGAAGCTGATGACAGAGTTTTCAACCATTTTTGAACCTGGATTAGGTCGGTGTACTGCCATGAAAGCAACACTTCGGTTGAAACCTGGGGCTAAGCCTGCTTTCTGTCCAAAGAGACCAGTGCCTTATGCAACATTAACAATAGTAGATTAGGAGATGGATTGCCTTCAACGACAAGGAGTTATTACTCCCGTTTCTTACTCTAGTTGGGCAGCATCTATAGTCGTTATCAAGAAGGCTAACGGCCTGATGCATAATATGTGCTGACTTCTCTACAGGTCTCAATGCAGCTCTGGAACAGCATCCTTATCCTCTGCCAGTTTCCGCAGATCTGTTCACTATGCTGAATGGGGGAAAGTTTTTCGCTGAGCTCGATCTAGCTGATGCTTATTTGCAAGTCGAAGTAGATGAAGCATCTAAAGAGCTGCTTGTTCCAGTACAACCGTCTGCCTTTTGGAGTTAAGACTGCCCCATCTATCTTCCAACAACCAATGGATACTATCCTATCAGATATCTCAGGGGTCGCAGCTTATCTCGATGATATCTTAGTTATCGCGAAGACGTTAGAACAGCTACGGGAACGCACGACATTGGTACTACAACGCATCAGTGACAATGGTTTCCGGTTATGCCCAGAAAAATGCCAGTTTCTATTGCAGTCGGTAAAGTATTTGGGATTCATGTTTGATGCCGACGGTCGCAAACCGGATCCTGAGAACATCCGAGCTATCAAACTGATGCCCACTCCCACTAATGTCTCAGAATTACGATCTTTTCTCGGACTAATCAGTTATTATTCAGCATTTAATCCCTCAACGCATGATATTCGCGCTCCATTGAATTGTCGATTGCTGAAGAACAGCACTTGGAATTGGACTAAGGAGTGCGCCGTGGCGTTTTGTAATTTCAAGTTCATAATCAGCTCGGAATTGTTATTAACACACTACGATCCATCCATGCCAATCATCGTAGCAGCAGACGCTTCAGCGGATGACCTAGATTCTGTTATTTCACATCAGTTTCCAGACGTGTTCGAAAAAGCCGTTATGCATGCATCCCGTACACTAACCCCAGCAGAAAAGAAGTAAAGCCAGATAGAGAAACAAGCTCTTGCTCTTGTGTTTGCTGTTCGCGGTTTCCATAAGTTTCTGTACGGTCGGAGATTCACGCTCCTCACAGATCACAAGCCTCTGTTCGCAGTATTCGGTTCTAAATCTGGAATTCCAGCCCATTCTGCAAATCGTCTTCAGCGATGGGCCTTGGTGCTTTTGAGGTATGATTTCGAATTCCAAAACCGAGGCACTCTACAATTCGGTCAAGCAGACGCGTTGTCACGACTCAATAATGATCATGTGGCGGCTGAGGAAAACATGGTGATCGCATCTCTGTCAGTAGAAGACCACGCAGAATGTTATCTGACAACCGCAGTTCGCGCATTACCGGTGTCTGCAACAGACATACAAAATGCTTCTAGAAACGACCCCATCATCAAGATGACGATGAAATATGTCACTAACGGTTGGCCGTCGAAAAAGTTTGAAGGTGACATGAAGCAACTGTATCAGCGGCGGGATTTACTATGCAACGTGAACGATTGTTTGATGTTTGGTGAAAGAGTAGTGGTGTCAGAATCCCTTCGTGCAAAAGTGCTGAGACAGTTCCACCTCGGTCATCCAGGGGTAGACGAATGAAGTCCATAGCCAAAGTTATGTATACTGGCCTCTCATGGATCAACGTATGATAGCGTTTGTTGAAAAATGCATGCGCCGTCAGCAAGCGGCAAAGATGAATCCGGAACACGGAGATGTAATTTACAAGTAATCAATCTCCGGCTAGTAACCAATGTCTTATGCGTCAGCTCCTCTTTAATGACAATTTGATGCTAGGTTGTAACGTAGCCAGTGATAACTTCTTTAACTAAGAAGCTGGATGACTCGGAATCAAATCTACCAGGTATATCTCGCTGAAAACTATCAAGTAGTATGAAACCTAGGTCCAGGATTTCTTGTTAACTGCCTTCGACAAACCACCTCACAAAGACATAATCATTATATATCTTTAAAAAAATACCTTCAGCTAGATGAATCATCTCTCTAATGTTTATTTGTTGATTACAATCATGATGATGAAATCATTCTATGTGATAAAAATTACTTTATATGTAATAAACTTTAAGCAGGAACCCAGATATATGCTGACTTTGAATTGCAGAGTCTTTTAAGAATAATAAAGTTTCAATACATACGATTATTATTGATAGAGTATATCATAATATTTTGATTTTATTGAACTAGTAACTAATGACATTCCAATTTTTGTATAGAACTAAGACTACTTAGTGACCAATGAGTTAGCATATAATAAACTAAAGAATTGTAGTACAACAGAACACTGAATGATGATTTGAAAAAAAAAAAGTTGGACTGAAATTAACTATATGATTCAATATAGTATACTGCAAAACTGGATGGTCAGTAACTCGATTTTATGTATGAATGATAAGCTATCATCATTCTGAAAGTTCTAAATTACAATTTCTTCTTCAGCTGATATGACACAAACAGTGAAAAGAAACCATATCGAAATGAATTACTTTTAAATACAATAAAAAAAAAATAATCTTATTTTCTTATTTGATAAAAATGTATGTAAAATGAATAGAATTATATACACTTAAATTATTATAGTATGAAATTTTCTCAAGATGTGATTACAGTTTTCATTTTTCTTGTTAATATGTATTTCATGAAGGTCACACGTTACATAATTACCGATGTAATAAGAACATATGAAAATTAGTGGACGTAAAAGCGCTAAGATTTGACAAATCTGAATATTTTATGGTATAATTTTGTTGAGCTTAGAGTTATAAGCAATTGTTCAATTTGTAGATGTAGTTTGTTACAAATCGAGATTATTTAATTGAATGTTTAAAACCAGGAAACATTGATACGTCTTAATATGGTACTATTGATTGACAGTTCTTTACACAAGACTCTACTATGGATCAAACTGATCAGAGCTTACAGATTTGTAAATGAGTATTTCATTTACAGATCTATGATTTAAAATGTACAACATAAAGAAAATAAATTTAGGAAAACACGTCTTCGTACTTTCCAAATAAGCTGGCATAATGTCTACATGAATCCAGTAAAAAGAAATTTGTAGTATATTACTAGCTACACAAATCTAGTTGTTTTGTATAATTTTAAACTAGACAATTGTTTTTTTTTTTTTGGTTGTTACTTTGAACCTGAACACAATAATTTTAAATATGTAGATTGTAGCTTAGAGTGAAATGGAAAATGAGTGGTGTTTTTTTCCTGTTTGTTAGCTGAATACACTTCGAGTCCATTGCTGATATTCACATTAGAACTTGAAGGGAGTACCTTTTGCTCTAAACGCCAACGCATTATTGTTAGGATATTCATCCAATATCCTAAGATAATTATTGGTCAATTCCTATTGGTTAATTCCTACTGGTCAATTTTATGGTCGTCCTGGATATCAATGTCATGTACTCCAATGTTGTTTCCGATCGGTTACCTTAACTGTCAATGTCACGGACTTTGACGTTGTTTCATATTCGACCTAAATGTATAAACACACATTATCTGTAACGTCTTATGACCCGGATCCCTAGTCCTGGGTCCTGATTCTCTTCTGGACTCGGACCTCGTACTTTCTGGATGCTTGTAGAATACAGGTTCTACTTCATATCAAGTCTTCTTCTTTTTACTCAATATTGGGGTTGGAACACTCGGATTAGAGTAACATCTCGTGTCACTAGATCCTCGATCCTCGCTCTCGTTTTCCGACTAAGGTAAACACGTAATAATTCAAGCATATCAAACTGACTTGTCTATGTGAATGCGTAACAATTATCCACTCAGCTATTGAGTTCGCTTACTTATCTAAGAGGAGTATGATATTTGAATTATTATCAGTAACTGATTTGAATGACCCTGTTTTTGATATTCACAACTGAGTTTTTCATCAGCATTGATTGACTAACACTGAGATCATCAAATTCCTTATTCATAACGAACTTGGCGAAATTTTAGAATTATAACATGTCTTCTTAAATATCAAAACAAAGGAAATGATCTACTTGGTAAACTTATTCAAATATGAACACAGATTTATGAATCGGTAGATTTAATTTACACATCGTCCGGCTAAATAAAATCGATTTAAAAGTTAATTTTCTTTTTTTACCATGGTATACTAAAAACCAATCGTACTTTATCATTCAACTTATGATAACTTTGTGAAAATACGTCAGAAATGTGTTAAATTTTTTACAATTGTTAAACACTGGTTACAAAAAAGATATCAATTTTATTCTCTGAATCGAAAGTGGTTATTTTCAGTCTGGTATTTTAATTTGACATTTAAAACATGAATTTATCAAAAGTATTTTCATTAGTAATGAATATCAGTTAGAATAATACTGGAAATCCGGTATCGTCAGTTACATATGTTACGAAATGTTCTAAACCCATTCATTCTATGTTTAGACATTATTCATTCATTCAACAATATCAGTCAGACAATCAGTCAATCAAAGAAGCCTTTGTTACAAATCTATACCGGTTAAACTTACCACGTCTTACTATCGTGACGTAGTAAATACTAAGAGTATCATAAGTTTCTGAACTATTTTAAGAACTATTTATGATTAGTATTTATTAATTGAATTAATATATATTTCTATATTCTCATCATTGTGAGCTTTTAATGGATCCAATAACTGATTGTGTACGTTCATATGATTCCTTTAATTATGGCTGCTAATTAATTAATCTTTTTTTTTCTTCTATTCTCTTTCCTTATGCTTATAGATTGTTTTTTGTTTTTTGTTTTTTTTGTTTTTGCTATCGACATTGATGTGTCATCAAAAAATTAGCCAATTTTGTTGTTTGAACAAACTACTTCACTTCTAGTTCTATGTTTCATTGTTGAATTAAAAACTGCGCTAGATGACAGGCGTATGTTTTGAAATCAATTAGATTTCATTATCATTATAGACTTCAACTCAAAGTTAACCATGTCAATCAAAGCATATAATCTGTCAAAGTTTAAAAAAACCTAAATAATATAGGAGGAATAATGATGTATCACAAAATTCCAAATCGCCAAATCACTTTTGAAGATACCGATTCACCTCTCATTCAAAATACCAACACTGCTACAACAAATAAAGAACTTGCTGAATTGAAGTTGATATCTAAATCTGAGTAATACACTTTGAACAGTATAAACTAAGAAGAAGAAGAAGAAGAAGAATGTACTTTTTAGAATGGTCATTATCCGAAAAAACGACAGAGAAAAGCAGACAATCAATACAACGTTGATATAAACATAAGCTTCTGAGTATTTGGATGCGATTTCATAGACTGATGATTTCAGGAAAAAAAACAGATAACCAAGTAAGACTAATAGAATTTTTATCATAAACAAAAATTCAGACTTACCTAAATTGAAAAATGCAGTGAAAAGACAGTAAGCTTGTGAAGTAAATATAAAACGTTGGTTTGATTTGTGCTTCCCATTTTTCTCGCCAGTCTGTTTCTTTTTAAGAAAAAAGAAACCAAGTGAATATAACAAACAGAATCAAATTTTTAACTTTTAAATAAGACAGAAATTTTTATATATTGATCGCATTGGTCATAAATTTATTTTAATTATAGTGCCATCGAAAACCTGAGGACAACTAAGAGCTTCTTCGTCCTAGTATGTGACTCTTAAGCAGTGTGCATCCAAAACCTTCTAAAAAGAATCGGACTCAAGACCTCCGATCAGACACGAGAACGATTAACCTCTAGATTAATGAACCCAACGATTTACGTGTGTAAATTCAGTCATTTCGTGATATTGCACAATAATCTTGCATTTCTTGAGGTAGATAAGTGCCTCAAACCTGGCATTGCTGAACATAACTAATCATAGCTTCTTACTAAAACTGTTAGAGTTACCGCTCAACATCAGACACTTGTAAGCATATGATTATTATTACGAAACAAGGGTTTGTAGATCTTCTCAACAATCTACACAAAACCACTTTAACAACATTCCAATATGTGATCTACACGATATCACACACTCAGTGAATGAGTTGTGCATTCCTAATAAAGCTATAATGAAAACTATGTCTGTATATAAACATCTTACAAAAAACTGACTGACATATAGATAAGTCTTTAGTCCTATTTTAAATGAAGTTATGAGAGCAGATTATCAACAAAGAATCCGAAAGCAGGATTTGATTTTGTTGATATTTGATCACAATGAAATTTTCCTAAAACAAAATTAGACTAAATCTTTAAAAGATTTCACGTCATCACTGATTTATATTATTTTAGTCAAAATTCCTATTCACATATCCACTAAAATGATGAGTAGAGAGAATAAATATTTCTTTTCAATTAGTTTTTCATCATGGCTTTACATTAATATTCGTATTTACGATTTACATTCATGGTAAAATATTCATAGTTCAAATCACAAGCTGATCTTATCCAAATTATCATTAAAAACCCGTTGGTGTCGGGTAGGCGTTTATTGCTACTGTTGAATCCGTGAGGAGTACACATGCCCGATCATGTCACCAAGGATCAAACTTTTCAGTTTCCCACTGGGATAAGGAATCAGTAGATCGATGAACAGAGATCTAGTGATGTAGCAATTTAGTTTCATTTACTTAGCCACACTGAATGACTGTCTGCCAAATTTATTAGTGGTTAACTGCTTCACATGAGAGATGACTGATGTTTTTACTCTTAACTAATTTTGAATAAAAGTTTCTGAACGAATGGAGTCCGACTATGCTGAGTGTTAGTCAGTTACCGAACAGTGACACTGAATGATGGTTGTGCGATGTCATGAATCAATCGGAATTAAATGTGTGAATTAATGGATCTTGGCTCAGTGCCTAAAATGTTAAACGCTTTTACACAATGCCTAGAAATTTAAGATTCGATCTCCTTTGCTGTCGTAAACATTTACTGCTCAGACATCCCATGCCATAACGAAACAACAGTCTAATGCATCTAGTGTGTTCAATGGTTGTCTAACTATAGTCAGTTCTTAATGAAACTTATAAAAACACAATACTTTTTACAATTCATTTTATAGTAAAGTATATAGTTAACCAACCTCAGGTTCCAGAATACTTTTCTCATTTTCATTATTATCTAATGATAAACGAATATAATCATCATCAATATAAATTTCATTGATTGCATGAGTTGAACTTTCTGTTGCTCCTTCGGCTGCTGCTGCTGCTGCTACCAGTGATAACTGATTTAATGATGTATTATAAATAGCTAATGTACGTTCTGATTGTTCTAAAGAATTATCAACCAGAATTGATCGTATTGGTTGTTCAGTAGTTTCAATGTCTTTGGTTAAACTATTTGAATCAGTCCAGTAGATATTATTATTATTATTATTATTATTGGCAGTAGTAGCAGTATTAACACTGTCATTCAAATGATATTCATGCTGAATTAAAGAATTCAATTTATTTACTGTTGAATTCAAATCTAGCTTCATTGAATTATTTGATGAAATACTCATTAAAGTGTTTGTGATATTCGAATAATCTGAATGTACACTATCTCGACTTGGTGGTGGTGTCGATAGACTATTGTTAAAATCTATTTCAATATGATCGGAAATATCACTAGATAACATGATATTTGTTTTATTGGTAAATGTGGGAGATATAGTTAAATCATTTGATCCGATATCATTATCGTTATCATCGTCAGAACTTCTTTCTTGTCGTTTAGATAAGGAAGAGTTTTCAGTGCCTAATAATTCAATCGCTTTTTTAGGCAGGTCAATATTATGTAATTGAGCGTAGTCTTCTTCTTTATAAACTGTAAACAATGAATCTAACAGTGGTTTTGCTGTCGATTGATTTACGTTTGTCAGATCGACTGAGGTAATCTCGCTGAACGGCTTGATAACATTGAAGTTCATTTTATCCATACAATAGTTGTTTTCAGTTGAAGATGACGATTCCGCAGTATTTTTCATAAATGATTGCTCACTGGCGGTTAGGTGATTATGTGAAGCTGGCAAATCGTTAATTTTGGTCAAAACCGAATCATCATCAGTAGACTTTTGTGATCCAATCGAGAGTGTTTTAGGGAAATCGATACTATGCAACTGACGATAATCATTTTCTTTATAAGCCGTAATCAATGGAGTTGTACATAGATAGTTTTCCTTACTAAATTCATCCTTAGATGTCAAATCTAGCTGATCAGTAAACTTTATATCATTTTCTACACAGTCTTTAGTTTCCTTATGAAGCAAACTGACAGACATATCGAGCATTGAACTGTCCGTATTATCTGGCGTAGATATTCCCAAAACATCAAATTGTTTCACTGAATCAATAGGAAATAATGAATTATGTTCTGTGAAAGTATTATTTTCAAAATTATCTTTTTCATTTGTTAATAAACTTGAATTAATAGTAGATTGGTTTGAACATTGAACCACTGTAGTAACCATAGTTTTACTAGTGTCTGTTATTATGGAATCTTTCAATGAGGTGACTGTGTTTGAATAAGAATCATAATCATTCTGAACGTGAGGGTCTCCACTGGTTTCTTTGAATTGCTGAATTTTCTTGGAATTGTTCAATGAAACATTATCATGACTAGTAATCTGTAACCTGTCATCATGTTTCTTGTCACTAAATACAGTTACGTCATCAGAATCTTCATGGTGAAACTGTTTTCCTAGAGATGTGTCAACAAATGATTCATTTAAATGATTGTCAGTTTCTTGATCCACCTTTAGCTTAGAATAATTATTTGTACTGGAAGATGACGACAAGTTTAATGTAATTTCGTCTTTGAGTGCATAATTAATAGTTGTATCATCATTCAATAATTGTTCTGATGTTGTTGGTAATTTCATTTTTGAAGTTAAACTATCTTCATTCAGCATATCATTGTCGATGGAATAATTTACAGGTTTATTTACTGCTGAAATAGGAATTTGTATGGATGAAGACTTAGTTGTATTCAGTAATTTAGTATTCCTATCCTCTAATGAACACCTTTGTAAAAGATCCTTAATCTCAGAGTCGACAGAATCATTCTCTGTTTTAATGACGACTTTATTACAACAATCATCAATATCCAATGTATTATTATGGCTACTGTTAGAATGATTCGACAATTCCTTTGTTGATTTTGTTAATTTTGTTTGATCAGTTGAGTTATGATCATTTAACGATTCAATAACATTCGTATAATATTTATTTACATTTGATTCACTTATCTTATTCACAAATGATTGTTCTTTACTAGTTGTTTGTGGATGATATGAGTCTTGTAGATGGTCGACTGTAGTCGAGTTGACACTATTTAAAATATCCATATTTCTGTTTTGACATTGAATCGGTGTATAAAACTGATCAGGCTGTAACACTGTCGACAGCTGACTTAATTCGGTTGTTGAAACCCGTTTGTCAGTTGTTAATTTATTGATTTCAAGTTTTTCGGTGTCATTTGATTTTCTGTCAGTTACATCATCGAAATCATATTTTGTTTCCGATTTATCATCAATCTTATTATATGGCTCATTTGATATTATTGTTGTCAAATTTCCATATGAATTATTTTTTAAATCTTGTGTATTATTCAAATTTGATTTTAAGTCTACTGATTTCATATCTTCATGTGATGATAATAAAACAGTTGGCTTTATTTGGTCTGATGGAACTGATTGATTATTTTTTAATTGGTCATTGATAAATTCATTAAATGTATTGACATTCAATTGTTCAATTGTGCATACATCATGTACATTCAAATGATCAAGAACAATTGATGAATCCACCTTCTCTTGTTTTAATGATGTAGAAATTTCAGTAGGCAATAATTGCATGATATCTTCAATATGTTTAGTTGTTGTTGTCAATTGTTCATTGAACTGTTTCGGTAAACATTCATCTGTAGATTGTAACTTGTTAGTTTGATAGTCATTAATAACATTATGATATTCAATGCTTTCTACATTATTATTATTTATTGATTTATTAAAACTTTTATCGAAATAAGAATTGTCTTTAAGAGTATCTGACGTTGATTTCATCAATGATTTCGTTGGAATTTGTGCAGTTAGAATTACAACACGATTCATATTTTGTTGTATATCAAAAACAGATCCTGGATTATTTTCATTTTCTACACTAATCGGTTGTAAATCTATGGAAGAGTTAACAATACTGTCGATTTTTGAACTGATCTTCGTTAAGTGATCTGCATTCAACGGATATGATTCCCTAGAGCAACGATTTCGCTGTTCTAATGTAGAATCAATCATTGATGAAACTAAAGAATTTTGTTGAAAAGTCGAAAGTTTTGTAGAATCTTCATCAAAAGCAGATGAAGATCCATTATCATTATCATCTACTTTCGAAAGAGAAATTGACGAAATTAAATTTTCTTTAGGATCATTTGGTTTTATTGTCGAAATATGAGAGTGTAATAATTTGTCAACGGGTTTACTCTCTTCGAAAGATACTGAATTTGAATTGAAAGGTATCGAATTCATAGAATTATTTAAGTCTTGAGTTACATTGCTATGGTTATTATTATCAGTGTTACTTTTAGTTTTATTTGATTCAAACTCATTGACTTTATTGATCGAAGCATTGAATGTTTGATCGTTGACGAATTGTTGATTTACTGTATTCTCAGTTTGTTTTGATTTTTCCGACATCACTTGATGATCTGACTGTTTATCTAGTGCTTTTATTGATAACCATGGTGTTGGTTTCATCTCTTCACAATATGATGAGCTGATTGAATTTGTAATTGATTTCTGTAATGGTATTTCATTTGTCTGACTATTATTATTATTATTATTATTATCAGTGAAGTTATCAAATACAGGACTTTCTGAACATGATATCAAATGTTGTTGCAATGAATTAGTACAATCTTCACTAGTTATTTGACTCATACTCCATAAGCCTGAATCAGCGAAATTCATTGATTGAATCGGTGTACTTTGTGAATATCTTGAATCATGGAAACTATCATTATTGTTTGTACTTTTGTCATGTTGTTCTTCTTCCATGTCTATATGAATACTTAAACTACTTAAATTAGGCTTGTCAATAGTATTATATGAACATGATGGTTGTTGAATTTCAATGGGATTTAAATCATTCACAGTATCTTTTGAATGTTCAACTAAATTTTGTCCAACATCAGATAATGTTTTAACAGCTTTAGCTAATTCTAATTGTGATTTTATGCCAAATTTCTCACTTACAGAATGTACATCTTTTTTAAGTCTAAATTTAAATAATTTCAAAAATTTTTTTGATGGTATACAAATATGATCTGAGTTTTTGAATAATAAATGTTTTTTAGATAAGAATTTAATCTTTCCATCATGATGATGATGATGATGTTTCGTTGTACGATTTGGTGTTAAAACATTACTGCTATACTCTGAACCATCATTGATAATATCGGTTGACTTATTATTACGATTTGATAATTTACATGACAATATAGATTCATTTAGAAATTCACACGATTTAATTTTAAACTTTTTGTGAGGAATACACATTCGATTTGTCTTGTAAATAAAATTGATTTCAAAGTTATGTTTACCAAGTTGTTCGAATGAATTTTCATAATGTGATGTTTCGTCAATTTGACATTTAACTCGATGATAATCGTTAATAATATTGTATTGACTTTTAGATGAATTTGAGCAACAAGGATCTAATCCAGTTATTGTATTATAATATTGACTCTTTCTTGTAAAACATCTTGGACTCACGCTTTTATTACGATTAAAATAATTGTTCACGTGTAAATGTAGACTTGGCGTACTGTCATGTGATTGTGTGGGTGAATATCCAAACGCACCTGCTGATTGGCTTAGACGTTGTCCAATAGGATGTGTTGGGTATAAAACATTTTTCATTCTGTTGATTGGTTCAATACCCGTGAGATCGTGCCAGCTAGATGGTATTGAGTCAGTCTGACTAGAACTATTAGTTATTCTGACAGCTAGTGGTTGTCCACGTAGATCCGTGACAGACATCCATCCACCAATGTTATATTTGGTGGGTGTAATTAGATATTTTGGTAAATTCTCTCTCATTGACGGAATATATCTATCTAGAGTTTGAAAAACCAAAACAATAATTTTAGAATTCATTGAATCTACCAACATATTTTTTGTAGTTAAACTTAACAATCATATCTTATCTAATGATAGATTTTATCATGCATTGAGAATAGCTGAATACACGATCTGGACTTCGCAGATGACCTGGCTCTTCTATCGCACACTCAACAACAAATGCAAGAGAAGACGACCAGTGTAGCGGCAGCCTCTGCAGCAGTAGGTCTCAACATACATAAAGGAAAAAGCGAAATTCTCCGATGCAACACAACATGCACCAAACAAATCACTCTTGATCGAGATGCTTTCGAGGACGGTAACACCTTTACATATCTTGGCAGCATCATCGACGAGAAAGGTGGATCCGATGCAGATGTGAGGGCGCGGATCGGCAAAGCAAGGGCTGCATTTCTACAGTTGAAAAATATCTGCAACTCCAAACAACTTTCAACCAAAATCAAAATCAGGATTTTCAATACAAATGTCAAGACAGTTCTACTGTATGGAGCGGAAACATGGAGAACTACCAAAGCCATCATCCAGAAGATACAAGTATTTATGAACAGTTGTCTACGCAAAATACTTCGGATTCGTTGGCCAAACACTATCAGCAACAACGAACTGTGGGAGAGAACAAGTCAGATTCCAGTGGAGGAGGAAATCAGGAAGAAGTGGTGGAAGTGGATTGGACACACAAAAAGCACCTAACTGAGTCACAAGACAAGCCCTCACTTGGAACCCTCAAGGCAAAAGAAAAAGAGGAAGGCCAAGGAACACATTACGCCGAGAAATAGAGAAAGATATGAGAGGAATGAAAAAAATTGGACAGAACTGGAGAGGGAAGCCCAGGACAGAGTTGGTTGGAGAAAACTGGTGGGCGGCCTATGCTCCATTGGGGGCAACAGGCATAAGTAAGAAAGTAAGTAAGAATACACACTGAAATCCAGAGTGAATGTTGTAGCTGCATTGTATCAGTATAAGATTATACAATGTTGTACAGGTACCGTGCTGTACATAATCGATCTCCAGGGCATTCAAACTACGTTATGATTATAGCAAAAATGAACGTCTGAATCAGAATCCAGTGATGTACAGTTTTCACTTTGAGTATTTCATGATATAACACAGTATCACCAGAGATATAATTGCCTAATTCACTAAATGGTTGAATCCTATCAGTCTTAATACTAGTTTGTTTCCCCCACTATATATATATATATATATATATATATATATATATATATATATATATATATATATATATATATATGCAACTAAGCGTTTGAAGATACTTTATCGATCATAAAAATGTCCACTGGCTCATAGGAATACAATTTCTTCATAAATGTAGTTAATAACAGCGAGTGAAGTCAGACAAGATAGGTTAATTGCTGAGTTCGATTCTTCACTAACTTTTTTTAGATAACATGATGTTTGATTCAAGCCTCAAAAATAAATTGCTAGCCTATATTTGAAGATTAAGATGCGTTGAAAGAATGGGCGTATTTGTAAGGCTAGATATAAAGTGTAGATTTTGGTAGCCTCTGGAAAAACATGCTAAATCAGTAACTAATCAATCAGTCATTTTTAGATTTTGTTCAAGATTTGTAAAAGTTCAAAACATTAGGCCACCATTGGAAACCTAGAAGAGTTGGATAGTCTTGTCGTTCTAATATGAGTCTCATAAGCAGTACTCATCCAAATCACATGCTGGAATCCAAACCAGGACCTTTGGTCTAACCCCTGAACACTAAACCTCTCCACCACGGATCATAAGCTATCTCACGCAAGATCGAAGGTCTTGGATTCAATTCCAGTGAGCGAGGCCCCTGGATGCGTTCTGCTAATAAGTTCCATACTTGAACAACAGGGTCATCCAGTGTTTCCAGGTTTCCAATTGTAGTGTAACATTTGTTGGTTCATAGTTTCAATGAAACACGACAATCCTCTAAACCTTATCATAGGAATTATATTCTATTTTACACGTAATAAATGTTAATATCTACCTAAAAAACATTAACTATGTTAATTTATATGTATGGAATTTTAGTTTTTATTGCTAAAGAAAATAATAATAATAATAATTGTTCTAAAGGGATTGAATAGTTTAGATTATGACATAAAGATTGAAATCAAAGTTCATGTTTGTCAACATAACAATTATTCATTGAATCAATATTAGTCTATTCGTTTACATTGAATAATACAAAGATATATTTAATTAATAGAAAAAAAAACCTGTATAATTTCATCTCTTAAATAAAGTTGATTTTTCTTTTTTTGCGAAGAAATATTTCAGTAAAATGATTCATCACTTATTGAAATCTTTTACTATCATAGTAAATTCATTATTACTGATTTTTTTATTGAATTTTTGAATAATCGAAATCTTTAGATTGATAAACATGCCAAAATAAAATGAATGACCATTGATTATTCCCCTTAATGGAAATTATTGTTAAATCCATACTGTTTTAACATAACTTTCACTATTCTCTTGAACTAATTCTCGTAGCCTATGATTGATTCAGTAAACAAATTGGCTAACAAATGAAATGATTAAGCAATAATAATGTTATATTGTGTACACTGTTATGTATGAGTAACTCTTGACGTGACCTTGATATTTAATAACCTTAGATTAGCCAACCATTAGACAAACGGATAAGCTAAGGCTAAACAAAATAAACAATAAAGAAATATCAAATCTATATGTGAAATGAAATATTAGAATGATATTTGCCTTACTGAATTAATGAAAAGGTTGCCAATTCTCAACTTTGTAATTTGTTATTTTCATGCATTAAATTACAAATATCACATATAAGTTTACAACTTAAATCTACTTCTATTTACAATGACTTCAGTAAATAAGAATATGTCTTCGTTTGACCCCTACACGTAACAGTATAGTATTCTTCTTCAATATATCCACTGAGTAGTGAATTGGTTCTTAAATGTTAGATATTTCAATCTACGTTAAGTTACTTCGATTAATAATCACGTTATAATGTGACGTGTTTGTATGTATTACTAAGGAGAACAAACTAACAATAAACCACGGTGAAACAAGATTTTCCACTGATTTTTTTCAACCATAAAACAGTCAAATAGTATTCTTAATTTAGTAAGTATTCATCAATCCTTAGCCTAGTTTCATTCTAGCTTAGTGCAATAAGTAAAAAGAAATAGGCTGAACACATGATTTCTGTTATAACTCAATAGATATATATATATATATACATACATTTGCAAAAAAATACATTTCCAAAAATATTTTTCAATGAATTTTTTTGATTATCTCATTTAATTTAATCATAAATAATGAAAATTATTTGTGAATATCGGCGCCATTTTGTGAATTGAAATAGAACTGCTTCATGTTTTTATGTTGTTTGTTTGTTTGTGTTACTTTTTGCAATACAAATTTGCAGATTATCACATATTGATTGTAAAATTGTTTCGACTAGATTTTGAAAAACATCAGATCAAACAAGAACATGAAAAAATTCGGTTCTAAGTGTAAATCTGAGAAATACAATGTACTGTGTATTCAAATTTGTGTAAATTAAATTTAATTTTGCATGGTTTGCTAAACCCTCAGTGATCATAAACATTTTATAATGCCTATTATCTTTTTTATTTGTTTAGATAAGTGATGGTTCGTGGTAGTCAACAGAGTACCTTAACTGACCTAGATTTATAACTGGTTTGCAAATATACATACGTGTAATCTTGAAGAAACTCATGTTCTCTCTGTGTAATTCAAACACGTGTCATTCAACTTCACAGTGTCACTTGGCATCACTGAGCTAATCAATTTGCGATTGACCTCCACTTGCATTTAGATCTTTACAGTAGGTTGATCTCTGGGCTGTGACCAAATTTATGTTAATCTAGTCTTTTAGCAATAATCGAATTCCATCCATCAAGTGAAAATATGAACATCAGTTTAAGTAATCAATATTAACATTTTGAATAGACTTTTAATGGTGTGACAAAAATAGTACGTGTAAGTTAGGAGTTATTTGTCTACAGATCATTCAGAATAACAATAATATTTCTCTGGTTTTAAAAGAAGGAATGCTTTATATTCTTAATCAAACCCGTACTACTCAGTAATGATGAAAGAAGACTTCATGACTAGCTGGAATAATAATATAATTATGGAGGCGCAGTTTACTGACAAAATGAGCTGATTATTGGCTATCTTTTAGTCGTCAAAACAATTTGATCGTACTATATATCCTGATTGGACTTTTCTCACTTCAGCATTAACTTCTGGGCTACACTCCACCGCATACTACTCATAAGACATGTTGCAAGTAGTATCCACCATAGCATCTTTTTCACTTACCTAAAGAGTTCCAATTTACGTTAATATTACATTTTGTTATCCATTCATAATCATCAATCACTAACATCGTAGATTAATTATTTGAACATATTGATATGACTATTTTTTTAATGATTTTCAAATTTTACATGTCAATTTAACAAACAGTAACTTTGTTTATAAATAAAAGATTCCTTTGATTTTTGTACTTTACTTATACACTAATTTTCTTTTTATATATATTATCAGTAATGTGTGTTTATAAGAATTTAATCAAGTTCATTTTACAATCCTTTTAGTTGGAAACAAAAGCAAATGAAAAGTCCTCAAAAATCAATTAATTACATGTGCGATTGTGTTAGTTCACTAAACTTAGTAATTTGCAATAGCGTGTTAATCTGGACTGTTGAGAAAACATAAAAATGTATGAAGCAGTTTTTTAGTTCTCGGTGATTTTTGGTGGTTATTTCGTATATACAAATGAATCTTAAAGCTTTCTGTTCTAAGGAAAGATCAACTAACTATTTGGATGATTGTGTAATTAGATTAGTTAAATTTTAAAATAATAAAATTGGTCATCATTTATCGACATAAATTTTTCTATTTTACAATCGCTTTTAACTGATTAATTATGTTTATAACCGTGTGAGGAGTATT